TTTAGCCCTGACAGTAGCCACAGATTGTGGGCATGGCCCATCACACACGATGAACACTGACTTATAGAACAAAAAGCACGCCACGTGTACTCAGCCAACACAAGAAAATAAAAGTGAGTGACTAAAAATAGTGTCAACATCAATGTCTTAATTAAATCATATTATTAGTTTCTCTATTTTGTAATGTTCTAAAGTAAAAGGATAACGAGTTAGAACTGGTTAGTTCTCCAAGTAAACCTTCAAACTGATAAGACCACAATGTATTATTAAAAGTGGCAACACATGATTTTATTTATTTATTTATCACGAAAAATAAATAAAATCATGTTAATGACAAACTTGTGTGATATGAATTTATAATTTTTTTTTTAGCACACAATGTATTATGATTTTTTGTAATAATTTGGTAATGATTATTTAAGAATTGTTTAAATTACTATTGCAAGATTATTATACAAAAAATGAATAAACCGCCATTTTTAATTTTTATATATTTTTATTGAGTTTTTAATCTAGTTTATCAAAACCTTTTATGGAAATCCTTTGCATTTTATTAAACATAATCAATATTAATTATTTGGGGTTTTTTTTTAAGGTCTCTGGTATTATGATTTTATAGCATAAAAGACACTCAATATTTTTATAATGTCTAAGGTCCCTCAACATTAATCCAGAGAAAATTCAATCCAGAAAAAATTCAATCTAGTGAAATTCTTTGGTCCAAACCCAAAGAAAATTCAATTCAGTGTTATTCTTTGGCAAAATTGGACTGATTAAGATGGAGTCCACTGATTTGCTGAATTCAATTCAGTGAAATTCTTGAATTTTCAATTGAATCAGTGAAATTCAATTCAGTGAATCAGAATGAGAATGCTCTGAATCATAATGAGAATGCTCTGATTCTACATAATATTGTGGATGTCTAATCCAATTTTACTCAATTAAAGGCAGAGAAAATTAAACAAACTGAGTTTAAACTAGAGAAATCTAGAGAATTTCTCTGACCCAGGAAAGAATTTCTCTGGATTCACTTCAACCTAGAGAAATTTTCTCAAAACCAGAGAAATTTCCCTTAACAACCCAGAGAAATTTATTCAAATCAGAGAAATTCCCCCCTCTCCAAATCACTCAACCTAGAGAAATTCACAACTCATAAATCATCATAAATCAATCACAATTAGTTTTTACAATTTGCATCGAATTTTTACTCGTATGTCATTTGAAAATTGCAGCTTTTGAAACTCTCAATCAAAGAGTGTGATTAGATTAAATTTCTCTGATTTGAATAAATTTATTCAACCCAGAGAAATTTTACATGTTAAAGCATACAGTAGATGAACTTAGCAGAGGAACAAATACACTCCTCAGATGCACTTCTGGAGATGAGTCAGGGACACTGTGATCGTGATTTACCATTTCTCCTTCCACGCTGGGGAGTAACATTCTCTGAGCACCCCTTTGCTTTTGCTTAACCTGATCGTCCAAGCTGGAAAAGAATAGGGCTTGAGCGATGTTGCGAACGTGCTAAGAAGATCGACCGGTGACGAAGACCATGAAATCAGTCCAATCGCAGTGGTTTCGAATGGGAATGACCTTGACGTTGTCTACCTTGACATTAGTGAGAACTTTCTGGACTTCTTCCAAGTTCAGTAAGCCTTTTTTGGTGTCACTCTCGACGACGAGGGAGGAGCACAAAGTGCGATTGAAGTTGTTAAACCCTAACTTCCATTGATGAGTAACAGAATAGATAGAATACGATGAAGAGGAGAGAAGAAGAGCACGAGATCATAGAGCCGCCCACATCAGATCACACCCACAATATATATATAGATTTGATCTGGTGAAGGTGGAACTCAATCGGCTGGAGAATGAAGTCAGGGGTGAGGAACAAGAGTTGATCTGGACAGGTCTGAGAATGGAGAAGTTTAGAGAGAGAGAGAGAGAGAGAGAGAGAGAGATGAGTTTTGATTTGGTAAGGTCAAATTTCTCTGCGATATGTTTAGGGACCTTAGACATCAAAAAATAATTTTGTGGATCTCTTCCATTACGAAAAGTAGGAGAGGGATCCTAGACTAATTTTCCCTTATTATTTTGTGATTTTTATTATAATCAAGTGAGTAAATTACAAATACACCTCTTGAGGTTTGTTTAAAGTACAGATTGTCCTGTGGTTTGAAAAATTACAAATACACCTCCTGAGGTTTACTTAAAGTACAAATTGCCCTATGTGGTTTGAAAAATTACAAATACCTCCTTGTTAGTATTTTTTATTGAACAGAATTAATTTAAAAAATGAAATTCATAATTGCCCTCTTATACAATAATAAAATTATATAAATTATTAATTAAAACATATTTCTAACATCATTAAAAATTATTAATTGACTTGATGATTTATTAATAAATGGGCGATTTGTTATGAAATTAGACACCTCAGGAGGTGAAATGTAATTGTTAAAATTATAAGGAGCGATTCATATTTTAATCAAATATCAAGGAGTATATTTGTAATTTACCCTAATCGAGTTAATATGTTTTTCAATAAGTCAAATTTAGGTAAGAATATTTGATACTATCAGACTTTTCACGTGTCAAATAATTTTGATTGAAGAGTTCAATGTTGTGGATTCAAAAAGTTAAATTGATCTAATTTAAGAAAAAATAAATAATTTATTCTTTAAATTATATTTGTTATGTACTTTTGTGAATTTTGTGGTCTACTAATATGATTATTAATATTTAATAATTTTTATATCATTGATTTATTTCATCACACTAAAAAATGAAGAAATCAAATTAATGAAATTAACCCAAAATTAATCCACAAGGCCTTGAAATAAACTCTCCCATTTAATTAGTGACAAAAAGGCAAGCGACAACCATAAGTGAGACTGAGATCAAAACAAAAAAATATTAAGTGAGACTAAAAAGTTCGTTTAAGAATAATTTTTTAATTTTTTTAACTTTTATGGAAAAAAAGTAAAATAATTATTATTTGGATGAAATATTTTATCTTGTTAATTTATTTTGTTTATTTTATCTTTTGAATTTTTTTAATCCCAACCAATGCCAAATGAAAACATAATATTCATATTTGATGGATTTATGAATCCCTTACAAAGTAGAATTTGCATTTTTCTATACGAGTGAGATTTAGGCACTACTTGGCATATTCTATATTAGCATATTTTATATTTTTTTAATCTTTTTTTAGACACATTATTTCTCTAATTTTTTACACATCTTTTTATAAAAAGTTAAAAAATATACTTATTTAAATTATAACAAATACTTTTTTAGGATTCGTTTGGAATGTGGGTTGACATTTTGACTATTTTAGCTTGGGATTTTTTTTTTTTTTGTTACAGGGAAATCCTCCCACCCTCCCGCAGGTCCAAGGCAGCGCCTCATGAGGAGATCACTAGGGTGTCCTGTTGTCCATTCCGAATAAGAGACTATAACCTGGAAGCTTGTCCCGACCTCCCAAGGCAAGCTTCGATTAAGTTAGGACTCGCACAGCGGGGGAGCATTAAACCCACACCAAGTAGCTGATTAGGCATCCTTGAGGTCTAATCTCCTAACCAACAGTGCTTCGCCTAGGAGATTGGCCCAAGGGGAGGAATTGAACCTTGGGGCTTAAACCCCAAGGCCTTACCACAATGCCACAACCTTGGGTTAAACTATTGTAATTGGAGAGATTTGGCTTGGGATTAAAAAGCCTCTTTGGGATAAGTTTTTTTTGGCTTTTTTTTTTACTTTTGTGAGAAAGAAAATGAAATGATTATGGTTTGGATATGACATTTTATCTTATTGGGTAAAAAGCCTATTTTATCTTTTTGTGGCTATTTTAATAAAAAAATCCCATTTTAACTTATGTCAAACGAAAACTTGGCTAAAATAACTAAGTGAGTGTTTGGGAAGTGAGTTTTTTTTTAAATTTTTTTAGTTGTAGGATATTATTGGAGTTTTTTTTTTTTTTGGTGTTTAGGAAGATAGTTAGGTTTTTTTTGTGATTGGAGGTGATGTTTGTGAAAGAAAAAGTGAAATGATTATGGGATTTGATGCGATATTTTGTTTGGATTGATTTTTTTTAGTTTTGTAAAACATTTGTCTTGTAGTGAAAAAAATCAAAAAAAAAAACTAAAAACTAAGTTGCCAAACACCGCCTTAACAAAACAAAATATTCCATTATATTACTCTATTTATATTTTTATACATCTTTTTATAAAAAAAAAATTAAATAATTAATTAAAATAAGCTATTTCCAAACAGGCCTCAATTCACCTTTTGTATTGAAATTTTTTAACTAATTTTATAAATTTAATTTTAATTAATTAATATCATTACATTAATATATAAATAAATATAATTCATTCACATATCTAATCGAATTTGTCAACTTAACCCTCGTTTGAAATTAGTTTTTTTTTTAGATTGGCTGCTAATTTAGTCGCAAAAAGATAAAATAGATTAAAAAATTAATAAAATAAATATCACATTTAAATCATAATCATTTCAATTTTTTTCTTACAAAAAATAAAATAAAATGTCTAAACCAAATAAACTTTTTAATCCCAGATTAAAATAACTAAAAGAATAACCTATTTCTGAAACGAAACCTTACTTCAATAATCAAACATTTAGTGATTATTGGAGATGATCTAAATAATGATACTTTCTATGATTTTACAAAAAAAATAGAGATTGTATAATTCAAAAAAATAAAATAAGCACACCTTTATAGTTCTAGCCAAATAACCAGTTTTATTTTCTAACACATAATTTCACGAGAAGTTATTGGTTGGTCTAGTCTACTGATAATGTCACGTGACATTTCATATGTATTATAATTAATATAAAAAAATAAAATTTATAATTTTATATTCAATAATTAAAAAATATTAGGAAGAATGACAATTTATAATTGACTTGAACATGACCCACCAATAAATTTTTCAATTCCATCCCTACTTTTAGGTTGTATTGTAATTGGAATTCCATCCCAACTGTTGGGTTGTATCGTAATTGGCATGTATCGCTCGCGTCCCATCCCTGCCGTCAATTTATCTTTATCCCACTTTCTCTCTTTCTCTAAAGTTGAAAACCATGCTGTCGCCAACTCCATTCTCTCTCTTTTGTGCTCTCCTCCTTTGCTTGCCCCTTGCTATCATCTTCACCATCATCACACCTCCCACTCCCACCACCACTTCAAACACCTCCGCCACCTCAACCACCAACACCACATCCGCCACCTCAACCACCAACACCACCGCCACCACCAACGGCGGCGCCACCGCTGCCCCAACCCCCAACACCACTACCACCACTACTAACAAAACTAGTGTCAACCCATTACCCACATTCACACCCACTATCAAAACCCAAGAAAATATCAAAAACACCACCACCACCACTTCACCGCCGCCGGCGGCCGCAGAAGACGATGATGATGAACCGCTGCTCCGACGGGCTTCCCGGGTCAACCCGAACCCATCAACACCCAAAAAAGTAGCCTTCATGTTCCTAACCACTACACCACTCCCTTTTGCACCTCTTTGGGAAATCTTCTTCAACCAAACCCCCACGAACCTATACAACATATACATACACGCCGCCCCGAGTTCCCCATACGACCCGCCGTTCTCGGGTCTGTTCGAGAACCGAGTCATACCCGATTCCAAACCCACTCGCCGCTTCTCCCCCACTCTCGTCTCGGCGGCGCGTCGCTTGCTCTCCCACGCGCTTCTCCACGACCCATCAAATTCCATGTTTGCCCTTCTCTCCCCTTCTTGTATCCCTCTCCACTCCTTCAATTTCACCTACAAAATACTAATTCAGTCTAAGAAGAGCTTCATTGAGATCCTAAAAAACGAGGGCGGCGCGTACCAGCGTTGGGCGGCACGTGGGGAACAAACCATGCTCCCGGAGCTACCCTTCCATGATTTTCGAATTGGGTCCCAGTTTTTCGTATTGACACGTAAGCACGCCAGGATAGTAGTGAGTGACAGAAGGTTGTGGTCAAAGTTCAAGTTACCATGCTTGGACGAGTACGCTTGTTACCCTGAGGAGCACTACTTCCCTCCACTTGTCAACATGGAGGATCCACGTGGATGTGTGCCTGCTACTCTCACCCACGTGGACTGGAGGAATCGCCACGACGGTCACCCTCGCACGTACACTGCATCTGAAGTGGGGCCTGATTTAATCTTGTCGCTACGGACGGACCGGCCTAGGTACGGTGATGATGAAATCAACGGCTCTGATTCGTCTGTGAGCAGACGACATGACCCATTCTTGTTCGCTAGGAAGTTCTCTCCAGACTCCATCCAGCCGTTGTTGAGAATAGCAAATGACGTCATCTTCAAAGATTAGAATGGCAATATTGTAAATTTTTAAAAATTCGAGGTTTTTTTTTTGGGTTTATTGGGTAATAATTTTGTAAAGAAAAAAGGCGGGCAAACCCGTTGCTTTGTTGGTCTTTTATAGGAAAAAGAGGCAGACCCCACTGGCGGTGACCCCCAGGCCCAGTGGGGTGTGATTGGTGGATAAATGTTTTTTTTCAGCAAGGGTGGTTTTTTATATTACATAAGCTCTGAGTCACGACTCTGACTAACTCGCTTGACTGATTCCAACTTAAGGGGTTGCTCGCGAATTAACTAAGGGCTAGTTTGGAAAGACGAAATTTTAGATAATTATAGAAATTTTCATTGTAGTTTTAATAATTACAATAACTTCTCTTATTTTTGAAATTAGGACAAATCATACTAACCATCTCATAGTTTGGGCTCGTGTCATTTTATTTTTGATTTTTTAATTATGATATATTTGATCATGAATTTTAAATTTTATTTTAAATAAAGACAATTAAAAATATTATTACTCCATTTCACATGACAAAGTTATCAATTTGATTAAATATAAGCTAATCTAACAAAAAAAATGTTTAAAAAAATTTAAAATTATTTCTACTTACTAAAAATAAAATTATGTAAAATTAATAAATCTTTTATATATTTATTTTTTTTTTTCACCAAATTAATTTTTAGTAAATATTTTGATGATGATCATGTAATGGGTATGGATGCTTTTTTTTATATTCATTATATTAGTTTTTATTTTTTTAAAAGTCAAATATAGCGATAATTTTAATATCATTATTAAATTAATCCATTAAAGTAAAAAATTAAAAATTAAAAACATCTCACATATCAAATATATCGATTACATATTAAAACTCTAATAATTATCAATTACATGATAATCATCCAAAAATATCTATTAATAACAAATACAACCATCTATTACATAGTAACCATCGAAAAGTATCAATAAAAATAATCATCTATTACATAATCATCTTCTAAACACATAATAAAAATTAGTTTAGTAAAATAAATAAATGTGTAAAAGATTTATTAATTTTACAAAATTTTAGTTTTGGTGCGTAAATTTAATTTTTAAAAATTTAAAAATATTTTTTTGACATTTATTTTTGTCAAATTAAAATTAACGACTTTACTCTTAAAATAGAGTAATGATATCTTCAATTGTACTTATTTGAAACAGGATTTAAAATTTATGGTCGAATATATCACAATTGAAAAGTCAAGAATCAAAGTGATACGAGTCTCAAATTATAGGGACCATTAGTATAATTTGTCCTAATTTCAAAAATAAGAGAAGCTATGTAATTATTAAATTGTTAAGATATTATTAAATTATTTAATAAAAAAAGCTTAATTTTTATTAATAAACTATTTAAAAATAAATAATTTATCTAAAATTAATGTTAGACAATATCTTAATAATTTAATATAAGACTTATTTCATACCATATAAATAATTTAAAATTTATTATTTTTAAGAAATGTATTTATTATTTAATTTTTAAAAAAATTAGACTACAAAGGCTACATTACTTATCTTTTCTCAATCATATATTATTCTCAAATTTTAATTTTTATCTTTGAGAAATTAATTTCTAGTCTATATATATATATATATTTTAAAAAAATAAAAATTAAGATTTCTTATATAATTAAAAATCTAAAAAAAAAATATAAGTAAAAAAAATCTAATTGCCTCACAATAATTAAAATTAGTTAATAAGAAATGAAAGATTAATAAATCATTTGAGAATAATAAACAATTCAAATAATATAAAAAGTACAATTATGACATTGATATTCTCAAAAAAGTGTACTAGCAAAGGGTAATTTTGGAAATCAAATAATTTGTTATTTCTTACAACTAAAATTAAAATTAATCTTTACTTGAATGGAGGTGAGAAATTAATTTAAGATTTAATTTAATAAAAATTGTTGAAATAAGAAAAATAAAGGAGAAATACATATTAAGTATTATACATCAAATTAATTGAATATTTTATTATTCTCAAATAATTTCTTCATTCAAGTAATGATTAATTTTAATTTTAGGTATAAGAAATGACAAATTATTTGAATTGTTTATTATTCTCAAATAATTTATTTATCTTTCATTCCCTCGTAGCTAATTTTAATTTATTATGAGGTGATTAGACTTTTTTATTTTTATATATTCTTTTATATTTATTTTTTAATTTTTTTTAATCATGTAAGAACAACTTTTTTTTTTAAATATGCTGCGATTAGAAATTTAATGACTCAAAGATAAAATTTAAAATTTGTTAATAATATCTTAACAATTTAGAGATAAATAATTTTCTTATATATGAATAAATAAGTAGGACAAATTGTTAGAAAAAAAAATAATCCATTTGTTTCAACTTAAAAAAAGAAGAGAAAAAAATTAAATAATAAATGCATTAATTATAATTGATAAATTTTTCGTTGTTTATATAGTATGAAATAAATCTTATAAACATTATATTAATTATTAGGGTCTTATATTAAACTATTAGAGTGTTATGTTAAAATATGCATCAATTTTTAAAAATATATGTGCAAAATCTCAGGGGAGATAAGTGAAAATTTTCATTTAAACAACTTATTCCCGCCCAATTCAAATGGGTAATTTGGTCATTTTAGATAGTAATGTAACGTCGCCAGAATCTTAGGAGAGGTAAGTGTAATTTACCCAATAAATGCATGCTCGGAAAAAGTTAAAATTTTTTTTGGAAATTGCTAGATTTCTATATTTTTTGACTTTTTACAAAAAAATATAACATATGAATTGAGTTTGAAGTGATGTAATAGAGAGATGATTTGACTCAAATAAAATAATTGTGACTTAAATAGAATAATATGCTAAAATAACATATATTATTTTAATACATATCAAACAAAGTCTAAGTAGGGATTTTGTTTAGAGACTTTTGCCATATATATATTTTTTTACTTTACGTTTTTTTCTGAAGAAGTTAACAAATTAATTAAAATTATCAATTTCAAAACGGGATTTTAGAAAGAAAAAAAAGAAAGAAAGAAATGAATAAAATATAAATTTATTTCAAAATTTTATTTTATTTTTAATTTTTTATCGATGAATATTACTATTCAGATCTAAAAGTTAGACTCAGATTATAAATTCAGTAATATATCAAGAAAATGATTGGCAGACAATTAAATATTCTTAATACATCACTAGATTTATAAACTGGGTATAAAAAATGAATTTGTATATTATTTTGGATAAATTACACTGACACCCTTGAAGTTTGGTCAAATTACATTTCATTTCCTGACGTTCTGAAAATTACATTCTCCCTGTGATTAATAGCCTAATTTCATAAATCCCATGTTTATATAAAAAAAAGCAATCACTTTGCTTGGTTTTATTTTTCCAAAAACACTTTTCAGAAAATTCTACTTTCTTGTTTTTCGTTTTTTTTTTATTTTTACTGAATTTTTTACTATTTTAAGAATTTTTTTTTTTACTTTTTAGACATACCTAACATAAATATACCTAAAAAGTAAAAAAAATTGTGAAAAAACCTTTTAGAAATTCACCAAATATCAAAAATACAAAAAAGAAAATAAAAATTCAATACATTTTTTTTTTTATGTATTTATTAATTTTTTAAAATATTTTTTCACAAATTTTTTACTTTTTAGATACATCTAAGTAAGGTGTATCTAAGTAAGGTGTATCTAAAAAAGTAAAAAAAAATGTTTAAAATTTTAAAAATATTCACTAAAAAAAAAAAAAAACATGAAAACCCAAAAAATTAATTTTTAAAAAATTTAATCTAAAAAATTCAAGCCAACCACACTGAATAACTCCTAATAGAAAAATATAAGAAATTACATTTAAAAAAGAAAAGTAAAAGAGAAAAAAAGGAAAAAAAATAGAGAAAGTAAAACAAATTAAGAAAAGAAAAAGTGCATGAGTTCAATATTTTCATTCGGTCTAAATAATTATAATGATAAAAAATTTAGTATTATTTTTCAAATGTTAAGAATAATATGTATTAAACCAAAACGTAAGAAATTTATGTGTGTTTTGAAAAGTTGGTAAAAAGTAAATTTTTGATTTTTTATCAAGCTTTTTAACTTTTGACTTTTTAATTTAATATTTATTTATGGGGTCAAATCAAATTAAAATGACCAGAATATCCTTACCCAACATAAGAAATTTATTTTTTTATTTTTTTATTATAGGTCCCAATTTGTAATTTCATGCTCGTGTTTTTGATACTTTCCAAACTAATTTTGTTACTTTTTACCACTTACATTTTTAAATATTTTAATAAAAACGTAACTTTTTTATTTTGATTCCTAAAACGACACTTAAGTGTAATTCACTCTATAATTTTTCTTCCCCGTATCCATATAGTCTTCGGGGCTCGTGAATCGATGACTCGGTTTCCGAGCCGCTAGTTGGCAGGACGAGTCTTGTGGCGGGACGGTGAGTTCATCTTCTTTAAATGAAAAATGATTCCGACCTTTAAAAATAGAGCTTTAATTGAGCATTAATTTATTTATTTATTTTTTTTTTGTCTTTTACTTCATTTTTTTTTTTAATACCTTGCCAGCTCATTAGAACTGTACTGCAACAGCTCTAATTAGAGCTCTACAGCAGTTTCGTTTTTAAATTAATCGGTGGCTGTGAGGATGTAGGAAAATTATTCAATAACTTGGAAAAATTACGTCATCATATTTTAAGTTAATTATTAATTAGTCTATCACCTATGTTATGCACAGAATAATTATAGATATTTATATTTGTTTTAGATTTTTTTTAATATATAAATTATGTTTTTTAAGATTTTTTATAAAAATAATTTAACAATCTTATCACTAACCATAGTGTGTGGAAAAAGTTGAAAAGGGTACTGCAGTAACTATATACGGATTGTATTTATAATTATTTATATGAGGAGATTTTAAATACTGATCAAGGGATTGTATCAATAAATGCAGGCATGTGGAAAGACATGTGGATTGAGAAAAGTTAATAAATGCTAATTAAGGGATTTTGACAAAATCAATAAATGTTGATTTTTTTTAATAATAAATTTAGAAAATTCAAATTGGGATATTGAAGATTTCACAGGCCTTGGGGGTTAATAACTTTTTAATACATAAATTATGTTTTTTAAGATTTTTTATAAAAATAATTTAACAATCTTATCACTAACTAGAGCGTATGAGAGAAGTTGAAAAGGGTACTACAGTAATTATACACGGGTTGTATCCATAATTATCTATA